CTAGCGCAGATAGCCCCTCGTGTAGCTTTGCGCGAAATTCAAAAACAAACAAACTATTGAATCTTGTTTTCCTTTCCTCCCTGCTTTGTTGACCGGGACTAATGTTTTTCAAACATTGTTTAAGAACTAACTGGCGTTAACTTGGAAACAAGTTTTGGTGATTAATATTATTCTTCTTGCACTTTTTTTATATTGACATTCAACACTTTAGGGCGTTAAAAGAGCGTGTCAACAATCAGGATAACAAAAAGGAGATTTCTTTAATATGTCGGCCAAAAGCAATTTCTACTATCTCAATATTTTGTTGTTTGAAATTATGCGCATAGGACAGGAACCGTAGTTTCTAACTAACGTTAGGACTAACTAGAGCCTTGAATTAGGATAAAGAGAACAGTACATAATATCATGCAATTGAAAACTGACGTTAGGCCTAACAAGTTTGGATAAGGCTAACTCTTATTTCAGAATTTTGCAGCCATACAGTCAGACCAATTTTTTGAAACTTGAGCATCAATACAAGCTGTTCTTGTTTTTAACTGTAGTAACTTGTTATTCTTAAAGTAGTTAAACTACAATAGCAACGTGCTATTCTTAAAGTGCATCTCATCATTAGATAGACTACAATAGACAAATTCTTATGTTGTTATAATAAATAAATAAATATACAATGAGAAATAATGTACAGTTTTAAGTGCAGAATATAATTTTAAATAGTATTTACTCTAGATGGATAATACAAAAGATTCACTTGAAATCCTAGAATTACTATTTTTGCTCAGCATTTGATTTTTCATGATTGTTTGATTGCGCTAGAGATTAACCAATCTCTCTCACCCCCTTTTTTTTACTTTTAGATAATAATATTTTTTCAGCTCAGATTTTTCTATTAGATATTACCGGGTTACCCCGGTGGCTCATCCACAAGCTTGAGGGCGTATGACGCTAAAGTACAGGGCTCGATCTCTACAATGGGCAGAGCGAAGATAGCTCGTTGCGCACTTAAAAACAAACAAAGAGATAATATCTGAGAAGTTTTATTTGCTTCCCCTGTGAAGATGAAATATCTGAATAAGTTATTTTCCTGTGTTTTGAGGACGATATATTCTTTTTTCTTTATAGTTGATTTTTGAAAATATTACTGGCAGGGAAGCTCAGATTCTGCTCTAGAATATTAATCTGGGTATTTCAACCTGATCTGTATGAGAAGGCTTGATGTATACATTAATATATATTCTAAAAATAAAACCAATAGTGTGGGTGTGACATCATGAAGAGCCACACTTCTATTGCATATGGCCCGGCATGGCTAGGTGGTTAGGGCACTCAACTCGCAATCTGCGGGTCGCGGGTTCGAGTCCCCGTCACACCAAACATGCTAGCCCTTTCAACCGTGGGGGC